GACGACGCTCGTGCACCCTCGCAGAACTTTGTTGACCAGGTAACTTTGTCGACCAGGTGATGTCCTCGGTGTCCACATGTCGGTGTCGGCAGGTCAACGGACTCCTTCGTCGACCGCCCAGGTTGAAGTCGTTTGGCGACTTCATCTTGACGGTGGCATTGCAGTGATTCCGTGGAAGTCGACCAAGTCTGTTGACTTTGTTAGCAAAGTCGGGCGTCGATCACTGGCAGCAACCGGATGCACCACCAGCACACTCGACTGCGAAGTCGGCTTCACCCAAGTGAGGGCAGGTCAACACTCTCCTCCTCTCCTCCATTGCTCTTCCCCCAAGACACAAGCAGAGTGTCTTACTCAACTGCCCTAGTGCGTTGGAGATGCTCGTGCACCATAACAGAAGACTTCACGACGAGCATCCAGAAGGTGGTTGGAGCGAGGAACTTCTTGAAGTGAGTGGATTGGCCAGCTAAACATCAATGCACCATTTCCTCTCTTCTCCTCCCTGACGCCCGCACCTCCCCTTCTCTCCTCCTCTTTTCCCAGGACACAAGTGGAGTGTCTTACTCCACCGCCCCGGTGCGCTGGAGAGGCGTGTGCAGCAAAACAGATGACTTTACAGCGTGCAGCCGCAAGGTGGTTGGGGCGAGGTACTTCCTGAAGGGTGCGGAGCGGGCGTTTGGCCAGGTGGACACCATGGACGATTACCTGTCGCCAAGTGACATGCAGCAGCACGGCACATCGTGCGCGGGGTGAGTGAGTGAGACATGCTATTCGGTGCGGAGCGGGCGTTTGGCCAAATAAACACCAAAGTCAATTACCGTCGCCACGTGACATGCAGCAGCTCGGCACATCGTGCGCGGGGTGAGTGAGTGAGACATGCTCTTCCTTTCCCCTCCTAGACCTGCTCACCAGACAGGACATGCTCGCTGAATGGGAGTCACTGAATCACAGCATCTTGCATGACACCTCTGTCACATTATGGAAATACACCTAGCCCTCTTGACCAATTTCACACCCCGTCAGTTTTTCGTGAAAGCCCCCTTGACCTTTTTTGGGCATCAATCATTAAACACCCAAAAATTAGAGGCTATTCGCTGCAGTGTGAAGTGTCGTGGCTGTAAAAGCCTGACCCTGTGACCGCAGTGCAAAGTCTCCTGTGACCCTGTGACTGCAGCGCAAAGTCTCCTGTGAGTGGATCTTGCGCTGCGACCGTATTCTTTGTTTTCTCGCTGACTTGTGCACAAAGTCTCAAACTTCTCATACTTTCAGCTACCTTGCATGTGACCCTTTCCTGGACCTTAAGGCCGATCATAGTGCTCCTCCAACAAAGGTGACCCCTTCCACTCCCCCTTCGCCATCAGAGCTGCTGCAGGTGTGGAAGTAACAATGAAAGGCCAAACTCATGGCACCGCAAAGGGCGGGCATGAGTGTTACAGAAATGCCACACCTGCTTATTCCCCTCCCTTCCAAATGTCACACCTGCTCCCCTCCCCTCCCCCTTCCCCATGAAAGCTCCTGCTGGAAACGCAGGTGTGGAGGTGAAAATGGGAGGCCGGACCTTCGGCACAGCCTCAGGCATGGCATGAGTGTTACAGAAATGCCACACCTACCTACCCGCCATCACTCCTCTCCCCTCCTCCCTTCTCCATCAGAGCTGCTGCCGGAAATGCAGGTGTGGAGGTGACAGTGGGAGGCCGGACCTTCGGCACAGCCTCGGGCATGGCACCGAGAGCCAGGCTGGCGGTATACAAGGCGCTGTGGATGGTCTTTGATTCGAATTATGGGGTGAAGGGAAAAGGAGCGACTTCTGACCTCATAGCTACTGCAGAGAAGGCGGTGGCTGATGGGGTGGACGTGATTTTCTGCTCGTGGGGCGACCTTGCCCTGTACTTCCAAGACCTGCCTTACTTGAGAGGACTCAAGGTGAGAGTTTGGGGTTACATACATACCAACCTTGGCAGCACGTTTTGCTTGCTTGAGAGAAGGCTGTAGCTGATGGGGTGGATGTGATTTCTTGAGTCTAGGGTTACATACATACCAACCTTGGCAGCACGTTTTGCTTGCTTGAGAGAAGGCTGTAGCTGATGGGGTGGATGTGATTTCTTGAGTCTAGGGTTACATACATACCAACCGTGGCAGCACGTTTTGCTTGCTTGAGAGAAGGCTGTAGCTGATGAGGTGGATGTGATTTCTTGAGTCTAGGGTTACATACATACCAACCTTGGCAGCACGTTTTGCTTGCTTGAGAGAAGGCTGTAGCTGATGGGGTGGATGTGATTTCTTGAGTCTAGGGTTACATACATACCAACCGTGGCAGCACGTTTTGCTTGCTTGAGAGAAGGCTGTAGCTGATGGGGTGGATGTGATTTCTTGAGTCTAGGGTTACATACATACCAACCGTGGCAGCACGTTTTGCTTGCTTGAGAGAAGGCTGTAGCTGATGGGGTGGATGTGATTTCTTGAGTCTAGGGTTACATACATACCAACCGTGGCAGCACGTTTTGCTTGCTTGAGAGAAGGCTGTAGCTGATGGGGTGGATGTGATTTCTTGAGTCTAGGGTTACATACATACCAACCTTGGCAGCACGTTTTGCTTGCTTGAGAGAAGGCTGTAGGTGATGGTGTGGATGCGATCTTGTGCTCGTGGGGAGGCATTGCCCTTTACTTCCAAGACTTGCCATACCTGCGAGGACTCAAGGTGAGAAAATTGCTACTTTCGCCACTTGCCAGGGCATGAGTTGTTGCTCTGCGTGTGATTGAGTTGACTTAGGAATAGACTTGCTATTTGCAAGGGCATGAGCCTTTTCCCTCTGTGTGATAGAGTTGACTTAGGAATAGACTCACTGTTTGCAAGGGCACGAGCCTTTTCCCTCTGTGTGATTGAGTTGATTCAAAAATAGGCTCACTACTTGCAAAAGCATGAGCCCCTTGGATAACTTATGTTACATAACAGCACTGGAGTAACCTTGATTGCACCCATGCAGCAATTTCATGCCTCCCCTTCTCACCCTCTCATTCTCACCCTCCTATTCTCACCCTCCCATTCTCATCCTCCCATTCTCACCCTCCCATTCTCATCCTCCAATTCTCACCCTCCCATTCTCATCCTCCCATTCTCATCCTCCCATTCTCACCCTCCCATTCTCATCCTCCCATTCTCACCCTCCCATCCTCATCCTCCCATTCTCACGCTCCCATTATCAACTCCCATTTTCAACCTCTCGTTCTCACCCTCCCAAACTCACCCTCTCATTTCGCCCCTTTATCACACCCTCCTATGTTCAACCTCCCGTTCTCACCCTCTCATCCTCACCCTTTCATTCCCACTCTTCCCATCCTCACATGTCCTTCAGGCAGGAGTGGTCACGGCCTTTGCAGCTGGCAATAAGGGTCGACCTAAACGCATGAAATTGCAGGGCACGCTTTCAAATGCCTCTCCCTTCTACCTCACAGTAGGAGCAAGGTACGGTTACAGTGCGGCGGAAGGAGGGGGGGGGAGAGTAACAAGTAATCAGAAGTTGGATTCTGAAGCATTACGGAGCAATACGGAGAGGGGGGGGGGGAGGGATCAATATGGATTACCTCTGATCATCAAAATCTCCACACCTCTATCCCGCAACACCTCTAGTCCCCAGCACCATCAGGTTGGTTTGGGAGCGCAAACCAATGCGGGCCCCTCCCCATGGTAGATGGCCTTTTGAGTCGACGTACAGGCCACCCTCTCTGTTCACATCCACCCCTGCCAACCCCCACAACCTCTGGTCCTTCCCACCAACGCAACAAGAGGTTAGGGGGGTACAGGGGGGTGCTCACCTTGAGTGATGCCATAGCAGATGGCTTCTGAGTTGACCTCACAGCATGTGAAGTTTGAGTTGACCCCACAGCATGTGAAGTTTGAGTTGACCCCACAGCATGTGAAGTTTGAGTTGACCCCACAGCATGTGAAGTTTGAGTTGACCCCACAGCATGTGAAGTTTGAGTTGACCCCACAGCATGTGAAGTTTGAGTTGATCCCACAGCATGTGAAGTTTGAGTTGACCCCACAGCATGTGAAGTTTGAGTTGACCCCACAGCATGTGAAGTTTGAGTTGACCCCACAGCATGTGAAGTTTGAGTTGACCCCACAGCATGTGAAGTTTGAGTTGACCCCACAGCATGTGAAGTTTGAGTTGACCCCACAGCATTCGAAGTTTGAGTTGACCTCACAGCATGTGAGGTTTGAGTTGACCCCACAGCATGTGAAGTTTGAGTTGACCTCACAGCATGCGAAGTTTGAATTGACCCCACAGCATGCGAAGTTTGAGTTGACCCCACAGCATGCGAAGCTTGAGTTGACCCCACAGCATGTGAAGTTTGAGTTGACCCCACAGCATGTGAAGTTTGAGTTGACCCCACAGCATGTGAAGTTTGAGTTGACCCCACAGCATGTGAAGTTTGAGTTGACCCCACAGCATGCGAAGTTTGAGTTGACCCCACAGCATGTGAAGTTTGAGTTGACCCCACAGCATGTGAAGTTTGAGTTGACCCCACAGCATGTGAAGTTTGAGGTGACCCCACAGCATGTGAAGTTTGAGTTGACCCCACAGCATGTGAAGTTTGAGTTGACCCCTCAGCATGTGAAGTTTGAAATGACTTACAAGCCACACACACCCACCCATCCCAACCTTCACAACCACTGCTGCTCCCCCCCTCAGAAGTATGGGCTGGGAAGGAATACACAGCTGTGCTTACCCTGGGCGGTGGAACCACCTTCACAGGGCGCACTCAGAGTATCAAGTGGAACCAACACAACACACTCTCACCCACACTCTTCGTCTCCCTTCCCCTCACCCTTGCTCTTCATCCCCCTCCCCCCTTCCCCTTCACCACTGCTCGCACCTCAATGCCATGGGGCAGGAGTACAAGGCGGTGCTCACCCTGGGCGATGGAACCACTTCCATCTCCAAATCCCCATCCACCCCCACCGCCCACCACCACTCCCCACTGCTCCCCACCGCAGCACCATGGGGCGGGATTACACTCAATTCCACCCTCCCACTCCCGCCTGCACCACTGCTCCATCCCTCATCACCATGGGGCAGGATTACACAGCAGTGCTCACCTTGGGCGATGGAACCACCTTCACGGAACGCATTCAGTCTCCCTTCCACTCAATGCATTCTGTCCACCCTCCCACTCCCCCCTGCACCACTGCTCCATCCCTCATCACCATGGGGCGGGATTACACAACAGTGCTCACCCTGGGTGATGGAACCACCTTCACGGAACACATTCAGTCTCCCTTCCACTCAACGCATTCAGTCCACCCTCCCACTCCCCCCTGCACCACTGCTCCATTCCTCAGCACCATGGGGAGGGACTACACAGCAGTGCTCACCCTGGGCAGTGGAACCACCTTCACAGGGCGCAGCCTCGGCGGCAACACTGCCACGGAGACACCTCTGCCCCTCATGCTCGCTGGGGGTTACACCACTGTGGGCCTCCCAGACGATGTGAGATTGAACGGGTTTTAAGATGCGTCTTGGCCTTGTTTGCATGGATGGCTGGTATGTCTCCTTGTGGTGAGTCACATCGTCTCAAAGTGCTCTTGAGTTGACTCAGAATGTGTCGTGTGCCGATGTAACGAGATGACTTTGAGTCAACTCATATGTTCTTGTGGCGAGGAGGGTGAGGTGAACTTTGAGGGCCATTGAGAAGTCCCAGCATCTAATCGGTGTTTTGAGTCGACTCAGAATTCTAATTGATGGCACCAGACAAACACGCTGCCACCTCTGCCCCCTCACGACTTTTCAGTCGACTCACGAGTCTTATTGGTGGTACCACACCGTGCCTTCTCCATCTTCCTTGCCGCCACGCCACCAAGTGTCAAAGTGCTATTGACTTTTGAGTAGACTCAGAAGTCACTTGAGTCGACTCAAATGTCACTTAAGTCGACTCAAAAGTCTTATTGGTGGTACCACACCGTGCCTTCTCCACCTTCCTTGCCGCCACGCCACCAAGTGTCACAGTGCTACAGCATAGCCCTTAGTGTGAGCTCAAGTCGTGGGCAGAGAAACTCCGCGTGTGCACCGTGCATGCTTTAAAGTCGACTCAAGAGCCACCGTGCCTTCTCCATCCACCTCCATCCCAACAGGACCACATGTGCTACAGAGAGTAGTTAAACGCCACTCAAGTCGAGTTAACTTCAGAATCGACTCAAAGTCAAGCCACCGTGCCTTCTCCGCCTCCCTTCCCGCCACCCCACCAGGCCTACCAGTGCTACAAAAGGAATCTAGATGCCACTCAAGTCGCGGGGAAGTTCCTCGTGTGTACCCTATTTGAACGCAGCCTGTCCGAGGTCGTTGCAGACGTGGACGCATTGGGAGTGGCTGCTGTACTCGTTTTGAATGCGACGGCAGAGCGCGAATCGCAGTACCGCATCCCGTTCTCAAAGACCCCGGCCATATTCTTAGAGAAAAGGCATCAGTGGTTCACTGAGGACTATATCAGAGCTGCAAGCAGGTGAGTACCTATTTCTCGTTTTAAACGTGAAAGCAAAACGCAAAATGCATTACCCTCATCCCCCTCTCAAGAGACATGACCATCTGCGATTCGTATCCCTCACTCACATAGACCCAGACTAAACTTATAGATTTATTGCATTTGTGGAACATTAAGAGACATACCAGTACCGAAAGCAGGTGAAGACCGTTTGTTCTCTCTGCCATTGAATTCACTGTGAATGTCCTTTACCAACACATTCCATCGGCCTTACATCTTCATCAAATATTCGTCTCTTGTGATATTCAGTCCTTCTCGACCCCCATCAACAAGCCCATGCCATGAACCTCTTCTCCCAAAATCTCCTCCAATCTTCCTCCTCTTTACCCCCATCCCTTCCCTCCTCTCTTGTGCCTCTCTTTCCTCCTCTTCTCTCCTCTCAAACCTCCTCTGTTCACCCCTCTACTCCTTCCGTTCCCGTGATTGCATCCCACTTCCCTTCCCACCCCTCCACTCCCACCCTACATTGCCTACTGTTCGACTCTTTCTCTTCCCCTTGCCCCATTGTCTCTTTCCCCTTAGCCCTTCCCTTTCCCTTCCCCCTTCTACTTCCCCTCCCCTATTCCCATTCCCACCCCTCGTTAATGCAGCTCCACAGCCACGCTTTCTGCTTTCACCGTCTCCTACTCCTCCACTTATCACTCCCCCCCTTTTCCACCTTCCCCTTTTCCCCAACCCCTCCTCTTCATGTCAATGCAGCCCCACTGCAACACTTTCCGCTTTCATTGTCTCCTATGCTACCGATGCCCCCCAAGTCGCTTACTTCTCCTCCACCGGTCCACCGCGCAGCCCACTCTACCCGCCCGCGCTTCTAATCCGCGACTACCCTACAAATGACATTCTTAAGCCTGACGTCGTTGGGCCAGGGTTCCAACTATGGGCAGCAGGTCCAGGTAAATCAGCTGCCATCGCTGCGACCGACCCGCCAGAGTTTGGTTACAAGTCCGGGACGTCTATGTCAACGGCGCATTTGGCGGGGATCATGGCGCTGATTGTGCAGAACAAGCCGAGTTGGTCCCCCTCGCAGGTGATTTCCGCGATAGCTACGACTGCATATACAAAGAATGAAAAAGGGCAGCCGATTCAACGGGCAGATGGAAAAAACGCGAACGGGTGGGACTATGGAGGAGGACATGTGGATCCCACACGCGTCTTGGACCCTGGGCTCACGTTTCATGCAGCTCACAAGCACTTCGTGAATTTCCTCATGATGAGGGATCCGATAAGAGCGAGGAAGCGATTCTGGCGCATAGGAAAGGCGCATCCAATTCTACCCCGGAACCTCAACCGCGCCTCGATAGCGGTAACTTGACTGCACGGCGTTACAGTAGTGTACCGCCGAATGAAGAATGTCTACAACTTACCATCTACGTATAGCGTGAAAGTGGTCCCTCCGCGTGGATTTTCCATGAGAGTTTGGCCCAAGAAGATCACCATTCTTCCTGGAAAGATGAGGGGTTTTAAAGTCACGATTACCAGGTTCTTGCCTTTAGATGCATTTAGGTTTGGAACAATCATATGGACTGATCAATATGGGCATTCTGTGCCGGTGGAGCTCGTGGTTAGGTCTCCCATTTTGCCGTGATTGTCATCATAATTGCACCATTATAGCCTTAGTGGCATGCAGGCCCTCAGATGTCAGCGTAAAACACGTTGATTGCGCTCATTTTGAAGCTCAGATTTTCGTTTTCCCTAGAAATTCAGCATATGCTTCAAATTTGCACTGAAATTTCAGTCTAACCTATTTTGTCGCACTGACCATTTTGCGTGTTACCGTACAAGTAACACTGACGAATCAGTATAGTATACCGAGTCACACTGATTTGGACATGATAGGGTGTGGGTGTACAGGGGGTGTTCAAACCAAGATCCCCGCAAAAAGGACACATGATACACCCACGAAGTTCCCACCTAAGGGAATCGAATCCGGGATCTTCGCGATCACAAGACATAACCCAAACAACTACGGCAGAACACCATTCGAATTTTGCTGTGATACGTAAAAAAACAATGGTTTAGTTTCCCTTAAAAATTCACACTGAAAAAATCAGCATATGTTGTATCCCCAAGGCTGATTTGGACAGCACTTTGGACATTGCACACTGATCGATCAGCATACCCTGAAACCAATCTGACGGCTTGGTGGCATGTCTCAGGCGAAATAACTGGCCAGTGGAGATATCAATGATGTACATGGCTAACTGCATTGCAAGGTTTCAAGATAATGGAAAGCTTAGAAGTACCGGCCAGTATATTAGAGTAAAGAAATAGGAAGATCTATGAATCCCAACAATAGACGTGCGTCGAAACAATTCATACCGTACTACCGGTAAGATGTTAACACGCATGGGTGATAATCACAGCAATATTGGATTTGGGAGCATGGCTAAATTGGGTAAAATGACTCGCATGGCCTCAAGACCGGGTCCTGGCTCCTTGTCTGGTTGTCGGACGGAAGCTGTAACATTGTCTAGCTTTTCAGACGAATTCTAAGTACCAGTCTGAGATTTCAGATGAAGATATATAGTTAGTCTTAATAGCTAGCAAGCAACTTTCCTACCCTTTATTATTTTTCAAACATTCTTTAAACTAAAAACATCCTATTCCAAGAGGAGTCACTAGCATTGCTGCTTCCACTGGCATCATCACTACCACTGCCACTGTCATCACTACCACTGCCACTCTTGTAGGTTTCCTCTATTGTAGCTCTGGCTTTGGCCTTGCTCCAGGTAGGCAGTTCCCATGCTGCTTCTTCTGCCGCTCTCTCTTTCTCTCCCTTGTTGCAGCCTCTTCCGCCTCTTTATGTGCGCATGTTGCTGCTTCTGTCAGATTTATATGACATAGCTGTTGTAGGCTATAATGGGGTAGCACATATGGGGTACAGGTTTCTAGGGTTGTATTTGTATCCAATCTTTCCTTAGTAATTTCATTCCTGTTCTTTCAACTTCACATGGTATAGAGCAGGTTCCCCTGTGGGAACTTCGCCTAGGGCCCACCACAAGATTTTTTTTTCCTGCCCGAAGCGCACTCGTTCCGAGTCGCGCCTCGGGCCTCTCTCTCACCGAGCCGCCCTAGCAGCTGACCCTTCGATCGCGGCCCCGCCGCCCTTCACTCTTGCGGCCCCGCCGCCCTTCACTCTTGCGGCCCCGCCGCCCCTTGATCGCGGCCCGCCGCCCCTTGATCGCGGCCCCGCCGCCCTTACCTCGCGGCCCGCCGCCCCTTTTGATCGCGGCCCCGCCGCCCCTTGATCGCGGCCCCGCCGCCCCTTTCTAGCGGCCCCGCCACCCTTTCCTCGCGGCCCCGCCGCCCTTTCCTCGAGGCCCCGCCGCCCCGTAGAGCGGTTCCGCCGCCCTTCCTCACGGCCCCGCCCCTCCGCCGAGCGGCCCTGCCACCGCCCTACCTGCGGCCCTTAGCCGCCCTACCTGCGGCCCTTCGCCGCCCTACCTGCAGCCCTTCGCCGCCCCACCTGCGGCCCACCCGCCGCCCTACCCGCGGCCCTACCGCCGACCTACCTGCGGCCCTTCGCCGCCCTACCTGCGGCCCGCCCGCCGCCCCACCTGCGGCCCACCCGCCGCCCTACCTGCGGCCCAACCGCCGCCCTACCTGCGGCCCACCCGCCGCCCCACCTGCGGCCCACCTGCCGCCCTACCAGCGGCCCACCCGCCGCCCTACCAGCGGCCCAACCGCCCTACCTACGCGGCCCAGCAGCAGCCGAGCCGCCCAGCAGCAACCGAGCCGCCCAGCAGCAGCCGAGCCGCCTAGCATCAGCCGAGCCGCCCGGCAGCAGCCGAGCCGCCCAGCAGCAGCCGAGCCGCCCAGTAGCAGCCGAGCCGCCCAGGAGCAGCCGAGCCGCCCAGCAGCCGCCGAGCCGCCCGACAACAGCCGAGCCGCCCAGCTGCGGCCGAGCTGCCCAGGAGCCGCCGACCCGCCCTGCTACCGGACCGCCCGACCTGTCCTGTCTGGTGAGCACGGC